GAGCCAGAGGAACCTGGTTATTTCACAGGTTATCTGTCAGGATATAGTGAAATTTCCAAATGATATCACAACAAGTTATTTCTATAAAACTTACCCACTGCAGCTTCAAACCGTGCAGCCCTGAGTGAACTGTCTCCTTATCTACCTAGCTAACTAACAATTTATGTAAATGAGTTAGCTAGCATGCTATGAACCAGAAGAAACACTGATTTCTACGAGGGAGGAATTTAAGGTTTATCTGAAATAATACTGTAACAGTCTTGTGATTTAAGGGGCTACACCTCGGGCCTGCAGGGTCTGCTTCAGGTCCTTGGTCAGACTTACCTTATTGTGGTGTCCACATAGCCCCACACACTGCTGAGCACACTGGGAACACCAACCACAGACAGCATCCTCTGAACAACCCTGAGGAGCAAAATGAAACAAAAAGTGGAAGAGGGCAAAGTGACAGATGACAGAGTAGTGGTGATGTGGTAAATTATGGCTGTCAGCACTGTAGGTGACGAATGTATTTAACATTAGCACATAGACTCAGCTCCCTGTGGTTAACAGTTATGATGAGATTCAAAGTATGTAATCTCCTCTAACCATCCTCTATGGCAGATAGCACTTTGCACTTTTTAACTGTGTAAAAGTGGTAGAAAATACTATCTTCGGGGAAAAACCGAAGTTATATCTGACAACATGTTTCTCCTTCGGTGTCATGTAGAAACCTCTGGGCACCATGTTGGTGTGAGTGTTTACCTGAACTTCAGGGTAGTGTCGGACTCTTTCAGTGTTTAACAAGTTAAACATGTTGCCATTGCTAACTAGTGTAACTTCTGACAGCAACATGCACATATCTTCCCCGGTGACACTGGCTTATAGAGTATAGCTGACAGCCAACAGATAGGCCATATTGATTATCGCCTGTAATACTCTGACCAACAGAAACGTAAGGTGGGTTAGAGGAAATACTCACCCTTCGTTCGCTGTCACCGCTTGCTCGGCCATACTGCTACACTGCTTCTGTTGATAGTACTGGCGGTCACAGCCCTCAGAGACGCTGACGTATATGAGTGAAGGCGTTTGATTTGTTGTTCTGGATAACTCCCCCGCGCGCCGTCTTTACGGCTGAACTCAGTTATGTCAATGACACGTCTGTCCCCGCTCACCGCAGTGGTTTGTTTCATACGTGACACAAAACAAGCGCACCCGGCCGTACGGAGCGTGACGCACTGCGGAAGTAGGCTTCCTGTCAAACATCTAAACATTGCTACTTAGCAGAGGAGCTTTGGTAAGTAGCTAATGTCAATATTATGTATGAATATTCTTTTTCAGATACTTTGTGCGTATTAAACATTACACAAGGTTGTCGTGTTTGCGCTGACAGCCTTTGGTACACACTGAAATGTCACATTTGGAACAAACCCGCAGTCCTGTGAGTCATACTGCAAGTCATTAATGTTAGAAAGCATGTCTTATTCAGTAAAGGGCTTTCCTCGTTCATTCAACTTAATGTTAATCTTTTAAAGTGATAGGAAAACAAATACTTTAACTGCATTTTTTTATATATTTAAAAAAGACAGCAAAGTGATAGCATAGTTATTAGTTATTAGTGTAATTATGATAGATATAAAGCATATGGGTTAAGGAGGGCATACTACAACATAATCGTTTTCATTTTCAGATTCAGTGTAAAATATGTTTTACATTTTTTAAATGAAATTAAATCAAATAAATCTCTTTTACAGCACAAATGTTGACTTATAGCATGAAAAGCACAGCTGTAACTGGTGCTCTTCACACAGAACTACTGTAAACCATTGTTATGTTACAAATGTGAAAAATGTAAATAATATTTGACTCACTTGTTACTAGTTGTGCACAGCTGTAGTGAGAAATCTGAAAAACCACAGCAATGCAGCTCAGCGTTCACTAACTTTGGCCCCTATAAAAGTTTACAAAAAATATTTTTAGTTTAGTCTTTCCACTACACAACTGATTTCCTCAACAAAAAAAAAATGGAATTGATAAACATAAATCTGTAATTTCATATAGAAAATAATGGTTCTTATTGAATAAAGAAATAATGGTAAAACAATAGAAAACCCCCCAGGAGGATCACTTACTTTCAAGTTGCACTGTACAGATGCCCATTATTCCTACTTTTATTTCTTATTCTTACGCACTCATCTTACTTATGTCTTGTCTGGGCTGTTTTGTTCTATGTTGGATATGAAAAATGCAATAAACATATATTTACAAAAAAACAACTGGGTGTCTATAGTGTTGAAGGAATAGGGTTATTGGTGTATGGCTTTCCAAAAAAAATAGATATAATTCTGAAAAATGACAACCCGCTACTTTAAAAACGGAAATTAGAGTGTAAACGTGGAAATGACCTATGATCCAGTGTGTGGATCAGTGTGTGGGTCAGTGGGGCAGTAGCCTGGCAGCCTAGCGGGCGCAGAGGCGCTGTAACGTTGGTGGGTGTGACAGCTGAAGTTTGCTGCGCCGCTTCGTGACGTGGAACATAACTGAAGTCCACCACAGTGTCTCCACACTACACAGACATGTCCTCTAACATCTGATCTGACTGTCCACAGATCAGCAGGGCCAGCTCCCGCTCCCGCCCCGAGGCTGCTGGAACAAAGCCGTTTCCCCTACACACACACACACACACACGGATCTGGGTGAGTACCGAGCTGCACCGATACACACAGAAACCCTCGACGAACCAGGGGTTAGCCCTGCAACAGTCAGTGTGGATTTGTTACGGCAGGGTGCTCTTTCCAGCTCTACCTTTCCATTAGTGCCTGTTTAACACGCGTGTCTCCTGCACGGCCCCTCCCTGTCGGTGTGTGTGTGTGTGGGCCAGCTGTTCCTGTCCGTATCTGTTCTCCACTGCCCTTACAGTTTATGGCTGTGTTATGAGTGATGATGGCAGTACACTGTGCAAATAGGAGCAGCAGATCCTGACACACCTTGTGTATGCCTGTCAGTTAGAGTTCCTGAATATCTGCTTTGACTTTGCCCTGAGGACTACCATCTCTCCCTGTTCTGCTCAAATGTCTCTTTTGATTTTCCTTTGTGATGATATGTGGGCTTTTCACATTTAAGAAACACTGTGATATTGTTAAATCACACAATAGCGCCCCCCAGTCCCAGAATATCTTGAAACAAAGTTTCAGGCACTGGGGAATGTGGGTGGAGATTTGGAGAGTTTGCTTGTCAGGATTGTGAGTTACCTTTAGCTACATTTTACTTTTATAATTTAACCTCTTTAATATTTTATTTTCTATTATAACTGGGTGGCTGCAGGGTCTATAATCCATTAATAAATATATTAAATATATTTTTGACAGGTCTTAAAAATTGATTGGATTAATGACATTAATGTTACCACGCATTTTTCCGTCTCCTTTTTAAATGTGTCTTTGGGAAAAATTGGTACTGATCATCCTGTAATCACAAAAACAAAACTACAAATCAAAACTAACATGGAACCAATATCAGTTTTTCCTTCATATCCTTTTCATGTCAGTATGGATGTGAAATTGGTACTTAATTGCATTCATAATGTTCTTGAAAATGTAACCTGTTGAAACCTGCAAAAATCAAAGTTTATGTTTTTTTAATCCATATAGTATATCATATATTTAATAATCATCATTATTATAAATGATAAATAAATGATATTCTAAATTTAAATAAAGGACACTTTCCCTGGCATTCATTTCTCTCTCATTCGCTGTGCAGGAGCCCAGGCAGAGGGGATGACGCTGCAGGGGTCAGTAGACAGCAGTGGCTCCAGGTTCACTCCTCTGGTGGTGCTGGAGCTGGCCTCAGACACCAAGGAGGAAGCCATTGCATGGCTACTGAGCAGGATAAGAGACAAACAGCAGAATGGAGGTGTGAAAGAGTTACTCCTCTTAAATTAGTTTCCGCTGTGTGCCATTATATAAACAGAGTTATTAACCCTGTCATTTCTCCCAGGTGCTGAGCTGCTGGTGGACCAGCTGGGCCCTGGGGCCGGGGCTCAGGAGAAGGAAAACCCTAACATGTTTCTGGTGGGAGCTACGCAGCAGAGGCTGCTCTCCGGTGCTGAGGAGGTGGGGCTCTTCAAGGAGTTCAATGATGGATCCATGAGAGGCTTCACCTTCGCCAACAAACACAACTTCACAGACTTTAAAGGTAAAGTTCAGGAGGAGGCTACGTGACGGCTGTTGTTTTTCTTATGGGAGAAATATCAAATGATTCTGCAGCTACCATCTGCCTTATGGAGCCTTATAGTGAGTGTCAGCTCATTGTTTAATGAGCTTTACTGTTTTGGTTCACTCTCATCGCTATGTTATTGTTTCCAGAAGCAACAGGCAGCTGTTATCTGTGAAAGGGCTCTAAAAGCCACTGTACACTACCTACTCAGCACCAAACCAGCCAGATGTTTTCTTTTTGTTTTTGATCTCAGGAGACCAGAACTAAAAGACATGATAATGTGGCTCTGTGTCTGCTGGAGGTGTAAATAGGCAACAAATTCACCGTTATGAACACTGAAGGTGATTATATGTCAGTGTCCTGTTCACAGCTTGTTTCCACTGCCCCCAAGTGGCCAAAAAATATTCAGTTAATGCAGACTTTCTTCTGTAACTCTGCTATGAGTCTGAGGTATGGTTCTGTAAAACACTACATACTGACAGTGACCTACAGAATATAGGGTTATATTTGTTAACTTGTTTTATTTAGTAGAAATAATAAAAGCATCTGACAGAAGTTCCTCTCATAGGCAATAAAGTTAGGTCCTGATTGCCAGGTCCATTTTAAATACTAAGTCCTAAGGTAATAAAATATCCAAATTTGATAAAGCTGCAGTAGGTAATTTTGTATAAAAATAACTTTTTGTCATATTTGCTGAAACTTTCACGATATCGTGATAGTAGTGCATGAGACAGATAATCTGTGAAAAAAGGTTTCTGTGGCTCCTCCTAGTGCTCCTAATGACATTTGCAAGAATCTACCAGGCCCGGATGAAAACAACCAATCAGAGCCAAGAAAGACTTAAAAACTCTTTGGGTTGGTTGCTTGAAGATAGTTGATTGTTGAGTCTCATTCCCAGCATTGATATTTGACAACCTGGTTATGAGACTGAACAATCAACTGTCTTTCTTGCACATGTATTTAAACATAAGAAGTTGAATCAGAAATATCCTCATATTGCAACAACACAAGACAAGGTACAACATTTGTTTCATAAAATGAATTGCAGTGTCAGAACAAATTGTTGTCGTTGTAATTCTCTGACTGCAGCATTGCTCACAGTCTGAAATCACTGGCCTCGCTGCCACAGCCTCTGAGCTGCTGAAGTATTAACATGCCCTTGTTGTGAATGTCATGGTGTTTACTGTTTGTCTCTAATCTGCTCCATCTCTCCAGGGGACGGGGACAGCTTCCTTAGCATGGCCGAGTGTCAGTACATCATTAAGCACGAGCTGGACACATTAAGAGCCAAAGATGAGACTCATGTACCAGGACACACCCAGGCCAAGCTCTACCCGGGGAAATCCATCAGTGAGTGTCTATCCTATGTTTGGTATTTAACTCACTGCATTAAACCAAAGCAGACATTTTAATCTGGTGATTTTATCCAGAAACTATTTCTTCATTATTTCTTCCAGAAAATGTGCTATATCACGGTATATACAGTACAGTATAGAGATCTCAGCATAAAGCTATGTATACCATCCTTATCACCAGACGTGACTTAAATCAGTGGTTCCCAACCGTTTTTCCTTAGACCCTTTTCTATCATTTAGTAGACTAACATACTTTATGGATATTTCATGTTCTATTCAAAGTGATACAATCGAGTTCAAGTCACAATGACTCGAGTCCCCATCTCTGCTTATCACCTACCCCATAATAGTGATTAATGGGTTAGTCTACTGACAGGAAGTCAATTGTTATCCATTTCGATAATCAATTAATCATCAAATTCATATATTGAATAAAAATGGAAAACATTAAAGTTCCAGCTTCTCAACTATGAGGATTTTTTTTTAAATATATGTTTATGTATTGAATATTGTTTGGTTTTGGACCATTGGACAAAACAAGCAGTTTAAAGACCTTAATGACATTCTGTAGACTAAACCATGAATTGTTTATTGGGAAAATAATTAACACTAAACCAGAATGAATTGAGAATGAAAATAATGGTTGAATGTTGCTCTACAGGAATAACTTAAACCAAAGCAAATGTTGCAGAGTACCAATTAAAAACGCAGTGATAATTATTGTCTACATTATACAAATGGCAAGCAATTAATGAATAATAGCCACTGAGGGCTGAACTTGAAGCAGACAGCCTGTCTGCAGCAGGTAAATATTTTCTTCAGTTTCCGCGTGTGACAGGATTTTACTGTTCCCGCAGCTGTGGAACGTTGTCCCTCCTGCATATTGTCGAGTATCTTAGTAGTAGTGAAATGTTGAAGGCAGCACTGTGCCTCCACCTCTCCTTTGGAGCAGACTGAACGTCTCCCCCACATATTGCCTCTGTACCTCCCTCTCTCTTTGTCTGTCTCGCTCTCTTCTGTGGCTGCAGTATGGAAACAATAAATATGCAAATGCGGTGAAATATTCCCAAAGCGAGATAAGGAAGCAATGAACTTGCCGCGGAGATAGGGTGCCTCTATTCAGCGGCCCGTGTTTGACAAATCGCGTTAAAGCAGAATGTAATCATTTTCGACAAATGATGCACTCAAGGAACGGCAGATGAAATGATAGAGCTTTCATGTGCTTGTATTTAGTCACTCTGTATTAGACAATAGGAATTATTGCTATAGACAGTGGGTTGTGTACAATGGGCTGGCTCACAGCTATTGTTTGCCTGTCCTTGTTTTAGAAAATTAAGCTGCGTGTTTATTTGGTAGGGAGAGTTCAGACAAACAAAAGCGAAAGCTAAAAGTGTTGCGCGGCTGTTTTCATGTCACTCAAATGTCTTCGAAATAATTCAAACTTAATGAAGCTTGTGCACACACAACATTTTCACTCATCATGACGTTAAAGCAGAACAGTACGATGTGACGGTATGGTGAAAAAGAGGAAGTAATATGCTCTTTTCTTATTTACGTCTTAGTTCGCAGACTGCAGTCCAAGGGGATCCTGGTCCAGATTTTTCCTCTGCACGAACAGGAGGAACTCAAGAGACTGTGTTTTTCTTGGTACAAAAAGGTGAAGTTGTCCTTTCAGCCTCTCGGTAAGTGAAGGAAGTGCCAATCATCTCTCATTGTCTTTCTTGTGAAAACCTTGTGAGATAATCACACATAATCCACATTATCCAGGATGAACAATTGTTTTGATGTACAGAGGGAATCTGTTCTGAGACGTTTCATTGTTACTCCTTCCATATGCCTAAATACCTCTGCCTTCACAATGATTATCATGATGCTCCTTTTGCCTTCTAGCGCAGAGTTGTTCTCAACCTTTGTGGATGCTTTTAATTCATAATCACCATTTTCCTTTTTATTTTATTTTTTTTGACAAACATGTTTTAGTTAACATGTTTCTAGCTACAGCTTTCTCCTTCATTCTCTATCCGCAGATAACATCAGACACTATTATGGTGAGGGTCTGGCCCTCTACTTTGGCTTCCTGGAATACTTTACCTTTGCCCTGGTGCCTATGGCTCTCATTGGAGTGCCTTACTACGTGTTTGACTGGGAGGACTACGACAAATATGTTGTCTTTGCTGTGTTCAACTTGGTCTGGTGCACTGTTATTTTAGAGGTATGGACAGTGATTGATCTACTTAACCAGAGTCATTTTACAATCTAAGGTGCTTAAAGGACCGGTGTGTAGGATTTTTTTTATCTATAGGTGAAATTGAAGATTGCAACCATTTGAATACAGTTCAGCCTTCCAAATGTGTAGGAGAAACTGCACTGGCTGTGCAACTCACAAAAAAGGTTAAAGGCCCTAACCAGAGCCAGTGTGTGGTTTGTCCACTCTGGTCTACTGTAGAAACATGGTGGTTTAACATGGTGGACTCCATAGAGTTATCTCTAGATAAAAACAGCTCATTCTAAGGTAACAAAAACACTGTCTCTTATTTTCAGATGGTTATACACTAATGAAAACATACCTATGGATATTATATTTAATTTCTGACGAATAGATCCTCCTAAATGTTACACACTGCACCTTTAAACAACTTCTAAAAAATGAATGAAGGAATATTACTGTAGAATAATGAATGTCAGTCTAGTGAAAGCTGAGTAACTGATTAGCTGAACCTTTCTCCTCCACCAACAGTTATGGAAGCGTTGCAGCTCCTCACTAGCTTACCAATGGGGCACACTGAGCAGGAAGAAGGCCTTTGAAGAGCCTCGTCCCGGTTTCCACGGCGTCCTTGGGTTCAACCCCGTGACGGGCCGCGAGGAGCCTCTCTACCCCAACGCCAAGAGGCTGCTACGCATCTACCTCGTGTCCCTGCCCTTCGTCCTGCTCTGCCTCTACCTGTCCCTCTATGTCATGATGATCTACTTTCAGATGGAGGGATGGGCACTGTCAATCCACGACGAGGACCCCACATTCTGGACGGGAATTCTGTTATTCATCCCCAGTATTATCTACGCTGTGGTCATAGAGATTATGAACCTCATCTACAGATACGCTGCTGAGTTCCTCACTGAGTGGGGTGAGTAGTAGTGATTTGCACTAAATCAGAAACAAATAGCCTATTATTCAGCACAAAGTCAACCAACAGTAGTTCTGATAACTGATTAATTGTTTAAGGCATTAAAAGATTATCCCAGTTCCACCTTCTTAAATGTGAGAATTCCCTGCTTTTATCATCATAGTAAAGAAGATATTTTTAGGTTTTGACTCTTAAAGATGCAACATTAAGGTCTGCGGATGTGTGATGGGCATTCTTTGGTATTTTGGGAAATGTAATATATTATTTATTAATCCATTCATTGAAAAGAGAATCACAGGTTTAATTAACTGCTACGTGACCTTTAATCTTCATCCTCTTAATGCCATCCACAGTGTGAAAAATGCACAAGTAGTTTCCCTTACTTTAAGGGTAATCCATCATGCTGCAAGCGGGTGTTTTTGGCCATGCACCACTGATTGGTGCATGGCCAAACATGCTTGCATGCTCTGCAACAAACTGGAGGCATGGAGTTTAAAAGACATGGGTGTTTATTATACAGTGACATGAAATACACTGTTGAGTTCTCTTTTGTTCTAAAACAAATTAACCAGTTCTTCATTGACTAGACTCACTCCTGAACAAACAACTTACATGGGGTGCCCTGGTAGCTCACCGAGCTCACCCGGTAGAGCTGGCCGCCCCATGTACCAAGGCTGCAGCTCCCTTGCTGCAGCTAGCAGCATGGTTTCCATCTGTGGAGCTGCATGTCATCCCCTCTTTTACATTGTATGCATATGATAGTGTGTTCTTTATCCTCTGAGTTTTCCAGAAATTAGATTATTTTTTTGTTGCAATATTGCTTTTCTTAATTGCGATATATTAAATGGTAACCCCGGTATCGTGATAACATTTTATATCATCATATTCTTGCCAATACACAGGCCTACTTGTAAAACTTCACATAAGGAAACATTTAGATTGTTCCCTGTTTCCTTATGGATGTCAGGCAACATGAAGTAAAATGCAGATGGGCAGATTTCCTGTGATAGGCTGTTGGCTTGAATGTATTTCTGTATGAGTGCTGACGTGTGATCTCTGCAGTTCATTTGCGTTACTGACGGGCTCCAAATGTGTTTTCCCCTCTGTGTATTTAGAAAATCACAGGCTAGAGTCTTCATATCAGAATCACCTGGTCCTCAAAGTATTAGTAGTGAGTATGAATCCCATATTTATGTTTTCCAGCATTGCCAATTTCATCCTCCAGTGATCACAGAGCAGCTTTTCTTGTCAACGCTCCACTTATCATCGCTGTCTCGACTCTTTTCCCCGTAGTTCAACTTCTTCAACTGTTTCGCCTCACTCTTCTACATCGCCTTTGTGATGCAGGACATGGTGCTGCTCAGACAGGTAGGCTATCCTCCCCTCCATCCCTCTTTTATTCTCTTTAGGGTTCTTCTCTTTCTTCTTCCCTTCATCCCTCATTTTTCTTAATTTATTTTCTTGTTAGTTCCCTTGTTTTGTTTTCATCTTGCGTTTCCTTCCTATATCCTATTCTTTTCTTCCTTTCTTTCCTCCTTTGCTTTTTTCTTTTCTGTACTATTCTTACCTTCCAAGTATCCTTCCTTCCTCTTTCCTTCTTTAATTCCTACCTTCACTTTCTTTGTGGTGTGTATTTACCTCCCTTTTCCCTTTTCCCACTCCCTTATTATTTTTTCTGCCCTTCTTTTTGCTCTACCTGGTTTCTGTGGTCATCTTGTGTTCCTCTCTCTGTTCTTGTCTGTATCCAGAGTCTGGCCACATTGCTGATCACCAGTCAGATCTTGAATCAGTTCATGGAGGCCTTCCTGCCTTACTGGCTTCAGAGGAGACGCAACAAGAAGTCGATCCGCAAAGTCCAGAACAGACAAACTCTGGGCGAAAAAGAGCTTCCTCTGACCGATCAGGTCCGGCTGGAGGCCGACATGAGCACGTACCTGGTGGGTGCACGAGGGACATTCATTCAGATTTGGATAAAACTTTTGATTTCATGATTTTGTAATTTTATAAATTCCTTCAAAACATGAGACAAATGAGCCATATGTCTCCATATGTGTGTGCGCGTGTCTCTTTCCCTCAGGGTACGTTTGACGACTACCTGGAGCTGTTCCTGCTGTTCGGTTATGTCAGTCTGTTCTCCTGCGTCTACCCTCTGGCTGCCGTGCTGGTGGTGTTGAACAACATCACAGAGGTTTACTCTGATGCCTTCAAGATGTGCCGTGTGTTCAAACGACCCTTCTCTGACCCGGCAGCAAACATAGGCGTCTGGCAGGTGAGAAACACAAAGACTGCTAGCTTGTTTGTGAACCACTATGTCGGTTTGATTCACCAACTTTTGTGGCTTTATCAGATTTTTCTTCCTGACACAAAGGAGGCAGTGGATGTTATTTTTAGAAAATAACAAGCTAAACACATGACCTGGTGTTCTTCATTTTTAAAGTGGAGGCTTGACACACATATCCTCTCTTGTTGCCATAGCTCACTTCCGTCTGAAATGTTATCTGGGTGAATATTACACCTCCCCAGGGACAGAATATTGTTAGTCTTATTTTTAAAATGCTTTCCTAATCTGAGCAGTGGCAGTTGATTAAGAACAAGGTATCACTTACTCTGCTGTTTCCATTTTTGGAAGCAAGTTACTGACCGTTGCTGTCTCTCTGTTCTGTGTCCAGCTCGCCTTTGAGGCCATGAGTGTGATAGCTGTTGTGACCAACTGTGCGCTGATCGGCATGTCTCCACAAGTCAAGGCTTACTTCCCCGAGTCAGAGACACAGCTCATACTGTGGACGGTGGTCATTGAGGTAATTCATGTACACACACACACACACACACACACACACACACACAAAGACTCTCCTATGTGCATGATCCCATACTGTATCTATCTATGTAGGACAGTAGGCCTTTGTGTCTTGGGCATACAACATCTGTGCTGTATTTTGCAGTACGTCAGTGGTATTCCACTGTAATTGTTTTAGTGTGACTTATAATAAAACAAGGCTGGTCTCGTATCAGAACAGCGAAAGCACAACCAGCCTGTAAAGATCAGGGGCAAGTCAGTTTTTCAAAGTGAGGATGTCCAGAGCCAATCTGTAGGATTGTTTGCAGCCTAGGGAGGATTTTTTTTTATATCAGTATTGGCTATAAAAATACTAATTCTCTTCTCATTTTTGTTTAATTGTAACCCACTGAGCTCTGGGTGCACTACCAACCAAACCCTGCAGTATGCTACATTACAACTACTAGAACTTACCATGTTTAAATGGTGAAACAGCCTAGTATATTTGCAGGATATTCAATTAGAAGTGTGCAGTATTTATTCTGCATAACTCTCTAACCCAAGCTGCTGGCTTGCAACATGATGTCAAAAATATAATATAATCCAGCCTGCAAGATTATTAGCATCTCTTATAATTTTTTCCAGTTGCTTCATAGCAATTTAAACCCACGGATCCCCTAAAGAGGAAAAAAAATGAAACGTTTCTCGTGCACACAAGATACTTTCTGGTGAGTACGAGATACTTTCTGGTGAGCACGAGAAACCTTAGGTTAAGTACAGGCAGTTGTGCTTCCTGTGCGTTACTCCGATCAGAAACAGCGTATTCATTTCCAGTTTTCAAAATAAAGGTATTCAGAACAGTAAGCTATAATTCGAACCT